CCCCAAAACCCCAAAACCCCAAAACCCCAAAACCCCAATAAAAACATTAAAATTGAAATTAATTTATTATGGAATCCAATACTTGTCGTGAAATCTCTTTTCCATACACAAACCTGTACCTCCACCACTTACAAGCCTCTCTGACTCCAGCCTACATCCAATCCCAAATCCCTGAGTCTGAAGTTGCCAGTCAGATCGATGAAGACAGACTTAAAAGTATGGCAGAAAGGGATGGAGAGTGGATTAAATTACGAAAAAAAGTTGGAGAGAAGGAGAAAGAACTGAAGAAATGTAAGTTTAAATGGGACTTTATGGGGGATGATGAAGGGAATTGGGACTTGAGTAGGAGGAAGAGATGGAAATGGAGGGAGAAGTTTAGAGACGCTTAGCTGGGGTAATATTGGTATTATATAAAATTGGAAGATTGATTAATTGCATCAATATCTTTCTAAATATTTCCAATATGAGAATTAGTAAGGTATTTAAAGATCAAACTCACACAACAGTCCGGGTTAAGGGTTGAAAAGACTCTGATTCGTTCAAGACTGATTTTATTCTTTCCTCCCGCTGTATCATGGAAATAACCCAAAATTACAATCAAGAATTTTCAGTGTTAAATGCGAGTTCAAATTTTGAACATCATCGAATAATTTTAAGTTTTAATTAACCCCGCATACTATCCAAAACCCTTGAGACTTATTTTGGTTGTTAGCAATGATAACTTCTGCAAATGCATCAGCTCTCAAAAAGCTTGCTTTGCCAATAAATTCAAAAATTGAGACACTTGACCATTCAAGGTGAAGAAAATGACATGCTTATGTATACTTCTGTGAGTTGGCTGTTCATTATTATTAAAATAAGTTCTCAGATTTATAAGTATCTCTTTCAGGTTTATCTTAAGTCAATATAAGTGACACTATTAGTAAAGAGGGCATTAAGCAAATGGGAAGAATTATCAATTATCTGTTTCAAGTGCATCCTATCATATAAATTGATCATATCCAAAATACAGAGGGATCACTTCTTTGTTGGCAGTGTAGAGCATGTTGTATTAATGCTAACAAATTATTTCACAGTTATCTTTGACACTTACATTACTTAGATCAAAATAAGCACGATAATTTAAAAGACGAATGGAAATTCTTTTAAATCAAATATAACAAAAGAGCAAAAGCAAAAAAAATATTTAGAGAAACATGGAGGTAGGATGGATACTCTTAAACAAGAAATTCCACAAGCCAGAAAATATCTTCAGAATCATTTTAATCAAAATTTTAATAAACTTAAGGATGAAGAATACAACAAAATCCTCAATAAACGCATTGAACAAAATATCCAACGCAACTCCAACTTTCTCTCCAAAACTCTGAAATCGAACCTCTACACTCTGACGTGCACCCCCTTCCCAGAATCCTGCTTAGCCAGACTTGTCTTCTCTCCGATCACTTTGGACTCCCAAGTCAGGGCAATCATGCACGAAATATTAAACGAAGGGCCAGTTGACCCTGAACTATACACCGAGTAATTTTCTTTCTGAATTTCTTGTAGAGAGATTAAGAATGTTCAACAGTGGGAATTCGAAGAAGCTGAGATTATATTAGATGCCCAAGGCAGAAAGGAAGCATCTAAATTCTTTGAGAATACTGGGATCGATCACTTTTGAGAAGTTATTCGAAAGATCGAAGTCAAGATGTTAGATACACTTATTTTGAAGAACTTTTGTTTTAGGAATGAGAATTTGGATAGAATAATTTCCGCTTCGATGAAAACAAGAATTGAAAGGATTGTCTTTAATAATTGAAGGTTTAAAATGATAAAATAAATCAATATCTGACTCTTGACATCATGAAGAAGTGAAAGGTCCGAAACCTATGCTATCGGCACCTTTGAAACAAAAGGATATGATAGATTCAGAAGAAATAATATAACCGATGAAAATTCAGATAATCACAAAAAGAAAAGAGCCTTATACGGTCTCTCTTTCATCAACTGAAATACTTCATCTACAAGCACAGAAGAAGATGAAGACATGGACGATGAGAGTAAAGAAGATCTAAATCCCAACCCAAAGAATCAAACTAACTCCTACAAACTCCACTCTGATCCAAAAACCAAATAAAATACACTCCATGAAAAGCGTAATCCTTTCCATAATCAAACAAATCGACTCCTTAAAATCCTTCTACAAAGACAGAACCCTGGTCTCCCTCACCCTCAAGAACCTATACCTCTCAGAATCCTCCATCAGTAAGCTTTCCCTCACATCCTAGCCGCCATCCAAGACGCCTGCCCTTTCCTCGAAACGTTCATTGTGTTCGACGAGCCGCAAGAATCCTAGTAAAAGCAGTAAATAAAGTAGTTCCAATAAGCCCATTCTTTACTGGGGTTTTGGGGTTTTGGGGTTTTGGGG